TGTGTATATATATTCTGGTACATTTAAGTCTTATAAAAGTTGCTAAGCAAACCGATTTGCTTCCCTGTTACTATATGTGCATATAACATATAAGCTAATTTATTATTCATGGCTGACACACAGTGTAAAAAGGAAGGTTTATGTGCTTTACTTTTGTGCAAACTGGGGTCGGCACAGTGCAGCGTTGCTTATGCAGGACTTTAACGGACCAACACCACCCTCTTGTGGCTAAAAAAATTACAAAGCCATAGAGACTGCTTTGTTGGAGAAGTGAGCAACATTGATCATCTTCTTAGAGTGTAATGTTCTACTGTAAAACCGTGAGTCGTTAAATTGGCTTGTGCATTATTTTTCAGGCCCTTGTCACAATGCTGAGCCCCAACATACCTAAAAAATAATATAGCAGGAAAAGTGACACTATAAGAGTGTGAATATTATTTGGTATTTACTAGGTATTTTGCATAGTGTTGCAAAATCCTTTACTCTGAATCCAATTTTGGGATTTAAAATCTTACTTAGCAAGTAGCATCAGTATGTACTTGAAATACCCAGTGTAAAAACGGGCCTTTTCTGTGATAATACACATTATTGAGTCATAGTTACTTATTAATCAGTGTGTATATTGTTTTTACTTAATATACTTCTGGTTAGCTAATTCTTTAACAACATAGCATCATATGTTTTTTATATTAACCTGTATGCTTTAAACAATTAGAGCGAACCCCAGAGTACAAACACTAAAATGCAGTGTTGCAGAAGAAGTAGCTTTTCATACAATTACATGAGTGATGTAAAAGTGCATACATTAAAATTAAACTTCGGCATAGTATTTGGGTAAATACCCCATAGGACACAATACTAGGCCTAAATAATGTATAGCTCTAAAAAGAAAAAAGACAAATTTTCATTCAAAACAAAGGCAAGAAATTGTGGTGGCTGTCCCTTGTATGAGCTAAGCTCACGCATGCAAGTGTAGTTATCCAAGGGTGAGTATAATATAGTAGAAGAAAACGACTGAAATGAACATCGATTCTGGATTCGTCATGGTGAGGGTAGCTGATTCGCACAAATACAGTACAGTGTCAAGGATCCTCTTATCTTTGACACTATTTAGGAGGGGGAAAAAAGAGGTCACACTAGTTTCACACAGTCTCAGTGCCGATGTTTGCCCTTTTTCTACTTTTTAAAATGAATAATTCATGTGATAACTTGATTTTATAAAAAGCTAAAACCATGTGATGGACTAGAAATGCTAACCTAGCAATACCTTAAGAACAAAATTCATGTGATGTACTGAGAAAGTTATTGCTCAAAAGGTATTTATTGCATGGCTTATTTATCATTTGCAAACATAACGAAGACTGACTCGGGCATCAGATGGAAGACAAATGTAATGAAATGCAGTTTAGCATTTGTGAGATAGATCTGATAGTTTTTGAAATAGTCTTTGAAATAAAATGTCAGCTCTATTAAGCAAACTTTCAACTTAATTGAATGTTGTCTGAATGAACCAAACTTTTTGCATCTGTCATTAAACAGTGAAAGGTAACACTATAATAACCTTAGAATTTCACATTAAATTGCAGATAGGTGAGAAACAACAACGATGGGACATGGAGCACCGTGTCCCATCAGAACAGCTTCACTGTGCCTTGGCATTGATTCTCAAAGTCTCTAGAACTGTACAGTGGGGATAATAGACCCTCATTAGGCGTTTGGATGATGGCTGGTGTTGAGCCCTGATGGTTCAAAATTAGGGAATGCAGAACACCATAGCATACAATTCCCATTACTGTGGATGTTCATCAAACCCTTCAGTGACTGTTTGTGCCCTATGGATGGATGTGTTGTCATCCTGTAAGACAACACTCCCATCAGGAAAGAAATACGTCATCACAGAATGAAAGTGATCGCTCAGAACTAGTTTCTATTGATTTAAGCGGACCCTCCTTTTTAAAGGGGAACGTGGACCCTAACAATAGCAATAAAATGAGGGACTGGATCCCTGGTGGCAAAACGGTGGCAAAAACAGACCATTTCTAATACAATGACAAGGCTGAGACTATTGAGGTTTATTAGGATTGCAGAGGATCTTTATGCTAAGTCTAGATTATACTTAGCATTCACTGTAAGCCAGATCTGGAATTGTTTAAGCTTAGAAACAATTTACATTTATATGAGTACTGTAAAAATACACTATCGAGAAATTGTCCCACATAAAATGTTCTTCTAGTAAAATAGTAGTGTTTGCGTAGCGCTCTAATGCATCACCATTGGTTGTGTTGGGTGGTCAGACTTTGTTCCGATGTGGCTATGGTCACCTCTAGCTCCTCCCATGGGGTCAAGAGTGAAGGTTTTGCGCTACTTTTCGAGCTGTATTTATTTTAGATGTACCAACAACGTGTTCCAGAGATTATTTGATAAGAAGAGGTGGGCTTTGTTAAACACCAGTACAACACACTTTCTGCAAGCCCTTAGGAGAACTCAGTACCAGATGTGTGCAGCTTAAAAAGCTATTCTGACAACCAAATAAGCCAGGTTCTGAAAAACTGAAACATTATTTCCTCACTGTAGTTAATGATTATTTCTCTGTGTTTAATACCGTATGAATAGAAACTATTTGGAATGCAGTGCTCTCTGGAAGTTGTTAGTTTCTAATAATACTATATTTCTTCCTTTAATTGCATTTACATAATGTTACTCTTGTTCCTGATACAATATTTATAATATTAACATCTGGCCAGTATGCAGATATGAAACTAAAGATTCAGATGGTTGAGATGAATATTACTAATTCAAAGAGATCAAAGTATTTTTCAAGCAAACATATTTCTCAAACAGGATATTCAAGTCTTTATTACAGATTGAGCTCCTTCAGCAGGAAACCTAATATCATATATATTCATATTCCATAATTTTTGCAGCCTGCAATCAGACTCTTTTGATTCCTTTGAATCACAGTTACGGTGAATAACAAGTACATGTTTTCAATGATACTGCAGACACGTGTTTTTGCACAATGCCCACCGTGGCATCTGTAAAATTCGTGCACAGTAAAAAAGTAAAGGTGCAGTCTGAGTACATGTGAGGCTACAGCAACTGCACGCACAGATTTTCCTCTATAGAACTTTGACTTGATGGAACTGTAAATGCACACAATAACCTAATGTGAAAATGCATAAGTGCTAATAAAAAGTGCATTTTGTTATTCAAAATGTAAAGAAACCGCTGGACTCTTCCAGGTCACAGAATTGCTCAGTGGCACTGAACATGCAGTCAAAACACATCTTGCATGACTCAACTGAGGACTCAGTGAAGGAAGTAGCCAACTTGTTCATGGTCCTCAGTCTGTCACAGTATTCCTTGGACGTCTTCATGTCGCAGAACTTTATAGGTAACCCAATAAAGGACGTTAAACATCAGGAAGCTCATGGGAAAAACAGCTCGGGAGATGGTATCAATCCTTTTGGCCCGATCCACAAAACGCCTCCGTATCTCATAGAAACCCAAACCAGGAGGTAGATCAGCAAAAATGGGTGTTGCATCCATTTCCTGAGAGGACAGTGCAAGTCCAATACTCTGGAGCAGAAAACCCTGCTGTTCCAGCTCCTCCTCCTGGAAGACAAAGACACAGCACAGACTCACTGCAAATCACTAAGCTAAACTGTTTGTTTTTTCTTTTTTTGGAGCCAGCAATTGGCTGGCGAGCAAGGCAACAGTACATACCCTGGCACAGGCACTGCACTGCTGGGATGCATTCCCATGAGGAGCATTGTTCCCTGACATGTTGTTTCCTTTCACCTTACTGTCACCGGTCCCCTGCGGGTGAGTGTGGGGGGAAAGCCGGCACAATTATTTAATCGTCAAACAGACTGCACTGACTGAACAGTTTGCAAAACTGGCACAACTTTGCTCTACTGCATAGATGTCAGGCCACATGCATTGTATTGCACTGCAGATCAAAGCAGATGTCGGGTGTACTGAGGTATAAATATTATAAAAGGTATAAAGAGCCCTTCAGCTGCTATCACATTGCTTTAACTTGCCTTAATGAAGGCTAAATTTCTCAAAAATGTGAAGAACTGGCCAAAAGAAGAGCCTCATCTAGTTTAAGGGTAATTTATCCTAATTTGTCTTCCTTATTCTTCCCTTTCTCATGATATCCATGATGTTGAGAACACTCAGCCAGCAGTAGAATAAGGTGATGGTTTGAATTAATCACAGGTCAGTGCTGTGTGCTTTTCTTGACAGGAGTGTAGCATGCAGCTGAGTAGCAGCTCGTGCAGAGCTGGGCACAGGGAATAGCAGGTGACAGCTGCCTGAGGGCCTGAGTGGGTGGGCTGCACTTACAGTTCTCTGCTGCTGCTGCTGCTGCTGCTGCTGCTGCTCTTTGAGTTTCTTTTTCATTCTGAAGAACTCCTTGTGCTGGCGTGAAACAAAGTTGACGGCTGCATACTCCAGTAGTGCAGCAAACACAAACAGAAGACACACCGCCATCCAGATGTCTATGGCTTTGACATAGGATACCTGCATAACCATAACAATCAACTGTCTCAATTAATATCAGAATCAGAAAGAAGTTTAACACCAGCTCAGCTGAATGAAGCCTCCAGTACATATACACAAAAGAAAATACTAATAAAACCTGTCAACATAGCAAAAATAGTTTGCATCAAGTATAAGCCACTGATTTCTTTTTTAAAAATACAACTGGAATATTACTATTATTCAATTGCGTTAATGTGCATTATTAAGGTAGTTCTTCAGCATTGGGATGTGGTCAGCAAGGAGTTCCTTTTGGACTGAGTGAAGAAAGATGATATATTATTGTATTTTTATATTATTTAATTATTTCCATTTATAATATTTATGTTAAATACATTTTTTTAATTAAACTGATTATACCATTCACTTAGAAAAAAGTTAAAACGAAATTATCCCACAGCCCGATAAAATGCATGCTAAGCTGACTGGTGATGCTAAATATGAATGTGAGGTTGAGTAGTCCAATTAGAAACTGAAATTTGGGTGCTAAAAAATTCTCTTGTTAAATCTATTTTATCTGATTTGACTTTCTTGGAATCATACAACCCCTCTGTATTTCCATGCTGACTTCATCTTTTTAGTAAACAGCAGATAACTTGCTGAAATTAGCTTCTGACCTTTGGCAGGGAGGCCCTGGAGCCAGAGCTCTGTGTTGTCATGGTGAGCACAGTAGTGATTCCCAATCCCACCCTTGCGGGAGCTGCATCCATGTTGATCCAGAACGACACCCAAGACAGGATGACAGTCAGCAGGCTCGGTATGTACATCTGGATCAGGTAGTAGCCCATTTGGCGCTCTAGGTAGAATTTGACCTCAATGCAGGTGAATTTACCTGATGACAGGAGGAGGCAGAGGTGCAAACTGAAAGTCTTATTAGAAGGTGATGGACAGTGTGTACTGAGAATGTAGGACAGTGGGTCGTCATATGTCCTGTACCTGTGTTGTAGTGCTTGGTGCAGTAACCAAGACCTTTCTCCTCTTTTAGCACAAACTGAGGGAGCATTAGATCATCAGCAACCTGCACTGCTCCCACATCCAGCCATTCAAAAATCAGGTCATTCATGGTGTAACCAACTAGAGGCGAAAGAGAAAGTGTACAGTACGCAGTAGTTTTATGTCAAAACCTGTATGTAATGTTTTCTTAGCCTGCCTAAAAAGATGAACTCACAGCTTTCAAGCTGCATGGTGCACGTCTGGCTGTCCATCGGAAAGTTTTTCAAATCCATGGGACAGGAAAGCGTGAGTGTCAGTCTGGAAAACAGAAGCGGCAGCATAATAGTATATGACATGAAAAGGTGCTACCCTCGAACCTTATCCCATAGGCAAAAAGGCAAATGGGGGACTTGGCTAACGACCACCTGTGAACTCCACAGTACTGGCTATTTCTTACTCATGTGTCACTCAAACCCTTTTTTTGAACACTCACCTTACATCAGTGGTCACATCAAGCAGCTCAAACTTCTCCGGCACCTGTCCTCCCTTCCATTTTTCTATTTCACTGCCCCCTGTACAAGCTGCAGAAAGCACTGACAGGTGCTGACAGACATCATGTCAGCCTTTATGGTGGGCTTGATATAAAAATGGGCTGAGACACACACACACACACATCACCACCAGCAGTTTAAAAAAGGGAAAAAAGAAAAAATAGGGATGTGCCCCGGTTACAGAACATAAAGACCGAGATTAAAAAGCATTCCGTTATTTAGTACAGGTGAACAGATGTTCTTTAGCTGTCACAGTTTTCTTTGTTGAATTATGATGTATTATGCTGTTCATTTCACTGACCTATTTCTCTATTTTTCCCCTCCTGCACTCACAAAGCAAAGCCTCTCACATAAATGAGCATTATTGCAGAAAGGAGGAACATAAATGACCCTGGTTTAATGTCGTCCACAGACACTGTGGTTATCCCCAAGTGAGTAAGTGGGGCCATAAATAATATAACCAACCTTAAAAAAAAAAAAAGATTTCCAGGGTTAAGGATTTTGTTCCTGTTTATCTTAATTACTAGAATTAATGCTTCTTTTTTTCTTTCTATTTATAACTCTTTACCATTATGCTACGATTTACCAGCGCTTTAGCAGCACATTACTGACCTGATTCCTCTTTAGCCTGCAGTAGCTGCTTAACAAGAACTTGCTCACAGTGCATGCTGGACAGTACAATTACAACTGAACTGAACTGGAGTGAAACAAATATGTAGCAGTCCATACACTTGGATGTTTACAGTACTTCTCAATAGACTTTATATTCACTGAGCTACCCATCAAAGCATTTTTGGGAATGTGTTTGATAGTTGTAGTACTATTAACACTTAACCCCCCGTATTTAATAAACACACATAAAATGACTCACCTGATGCTGTAGAGAACATTTCCGTTCTGGAAGATCCGCAGCAGTTTGTTGTCTGTTGTAACCTCGTGAAAGTTTGCTCCCTTTTCATTTGCAAAGAATAAGTCAGGTTTCCAAATGGAGTCCAACATTGAGGGGTCCAAGTCCAGAGAGTCATCAGGGTACTCCTTATATGCTAGTCGAGGGTCATTCCACTGCTGCCGTAGAAATACATTGAGCCGATAGTCCTAAATTATGGAGGCAACAAGTAATTAAAAACTGTGTAAACTTATAAATGATGAAAAAATTTATATATGCATATTGCATATGCATGCAAGTATGCTGCATATGTTCAAGCATCTAATTTTAGCGAGAGGGCAAAAGTAAAGAGAAGAACCATCCTCTAAGCAGGCAGGCGTGACTGTGTGTCTGTGTGTGTTTGGGTTGGGGACAAATGGTGACAAACAGGCCTGAGTGCTCCCATAACCTGAACAACAGCAAACTCCACTTACAATTTCATCAATTAAAATTTGATGTCTCTCTCCTTTAGTATTTTACAAAATGCACAAATTCTCCAGGCTCTAAACGTGAATAAATCAACAAACATGACCAACCCCAGACATTCTCCAGAGGCCTTGTAAATTAAGGATGGCTGCTTATTTTGACAGAGAAAGACACATGAGAAGATCTTTGCTGACACTATGTTATGCACTCACAAGATGGTGTTTGGAGCAACTAAACAGTCATAATCTAATGACATGAAACTTGGCTTCCACCAAGAGTCGGAGAGGAGCCAAACATAAAAAGAGAAGCTTCAGATGAATAAACAGTAAAGTGTCTGATGCATCTCATAAATGAGCTTTAACCAGCTCTGCTCTCCAACTGCTATTAAAGTCGTGGATGCTCATATTAAATGTGGCCAGAGTTTCAAATAATGAGGTCAGTGCTTTTTGGCTCATCAGTGAGCCCGGGGCTTCGGGCAGTTTTAAACACTCATTTTCAGACAGATTTTCTACTCTTGGCTCTGTACGAAGTCATCCCAGGCTCACATCTCAGGCAGTGAGCACAGAAACCCCACCCGCCTGCTGTGTGGTTTGCGAGAGGCAACCAAACTGACCCGACAAAGGGGAGCTAAAACTGCTTGTTTCAGACCGAAGATAAACCGAGGGGCTGACACCAAGGTCCAGTGTAAATTAACAAGGATTATTTTCAACTCTGAGTCATGCAGACTTACTTAACTAAGCTACTAAGTTGGAGCTGGAAAGAAGCACAATTGCCCCCCTATAAATTTTGACACAGGAACTATTGGTCTGTGCTATTGGTTTTCCATTTGTTTTGGTACTGGCTTTAACTGGCAGCTTCAGTCATCAGTCAGAGTAAGATTAGTGCCAGTTATCATATTACAAAATGTTATACAGATTGATTGTGATACTGACTGACTTATTTTATGCTAATTCATGCACATGTTTACTAAGTAAAATACTGAATACGGGACCTTAAAGTTGTAGTTTTGTATCTCTAAGCTGTAGTATAACTGCTTTGACTGAATTAAAGGATGTGAATATAGTTTCCAGTACATTATTCACATGTTCTGTGAGTATAAGAAGGGATTAATATGAGCTACGACATCTAACTTAGAGGCAATGATGCAAATTTATATTGAACATTATTACAGTGAAAGTGGCTACAAATGTTAGCTACAGACACTCCCATAAAAGCTCAGCTATTTATAGGCGCTCCTTGAGTCTTTAGTCAAAGTGACATTTTTAAAGAGGACCTATTATGCTCACCTCCAACTATATATTTATATTCTTGGATTTTACTACCGTAGCTTTACATGAATCATAAATCAAAATAATCCTTATTTGTCTTATGTGCTCCTTGGTAGAGATCCTCGGTCCATCGCCTGTTTAGAGCAGTCCGAAGCCTTAGCTTTTACCTCACTGGAATTACCAGCACATACGATGTCAATATTAGAAACTTTGGCTGTATTTATTATGAACATCCACCACTGTAACAGTATATGTGACAAAAATAAAGAGATAATGGAGGTAAAGCCCAAAGAAGTTCAGTCACAGTCATACAAATGGCAAGCTTTCATTTGCATAATTCTGGATATTTGAGCCCTCAAAATTAGTAATGTTCATTTAAATTGTCTGTCACTGACCCAGATTTAAATGTAGTTCAGGGTTTTGGGAAGACCATTCCAGAAGTTTCATCCTGCGTTATCCATTAAAAAACCAGTTTTGATGCATGTTTTAGATTGTTGTATTGGAACATTAAGTTATGTCCAACTTTTGTCTGTTTAGTTGAGGCGAAGTTAAAGAATTTAGAGGTAGTCCTCCTCCTTCGTTAATCCAGCCACTGTGCAATCTATCAGTACCACTGACGGTAAAACAGCCCCAGAGCATGATGCTACCACTACCATACTTCTTAGCTGGTACAGCGATCTCAGGTTTGAAGGCCTCACCTTTACTCCTCCTGTCATTGTGGCCAAACAACTCAGTCTTTGCCTGACCATAAAAACTTTTGGCTTGTCCATCAGAGCAACTGCAAATTTCACTCGAGCATGAAAGCACTAATTGTGGAGCATTGCCTTCTTTCCTGGCCAGCACCCTCTGATGATCAAACAATCATCAGTTCAATGAATAAAAAATAAATCAGTTCAAAAAGGAGAATCTACAGTTCTCCTTGTCTGATCTTCATTGGGTTTCTTGGACATTTCTATTGTTCTGAGTACTGGTCAGTCTAATGAGTACTGTCAATTAACTGTCTATTAACTTCACTAATAAAAAGTTAATAGGCCTTGGCCTTGTCAAGTTATAACACGTTTTAGAACCTTCAGCACCACTTTTTAAAAGATTTAAGTGAGTATATATGTGAGCCTGTATGTATACTTTTGAACTCGTGTGGATTTGAGAAATTCGAAGTTACACACCCGTTTTTTTTTTAAGTCATTAAAATGTATGTTGTACAATGGCACCTTCGAAAAAGAGCAGATAAATTTAAAACAGATGTTTTCTCACCATAGTTGTTTCAGTGATGGATCCAAAGCTGTTGATGAAGATGTTACAGGTCACGTTGACAGGAGAACCTGACGGGAGGACACATCTTAGTAACACTGCTTCCTTAAATACCACTGATGATGTTTTCTAAAAGGAACACATCAAATATTAAAGCTGATGAAGAGCAGGGGATTCCTGGACCACAACATCTGTTTTTTCCCTTCATAATATGCCATGCCGTGTCCTGATAAAGATTTATCCACGATAACAAGCCTGAAATTGTGTTGTCATTTCCAGTATGCTCCCATTAGCGTAGTCCATCTGTCGACCATTGGAACTTTAAATATTTCAGTGAGTCATTTCCGAAGAGGCAATTATTTATTGATTCAGTTTTACTTACAGTGGTGCGTTTATAGATAATCAGCAGAGATTTATCCACAATGCACCGACAAGGATGTGGAGCAAATATGAAATATATATGAAATTTGACCCTAGAGGCAGTGCAGGAACTATGTGAAAGAGACTCTGCCAGTTTCACAAGATTGGACTGGAAAGGGCCTTTGGGGTAACATGCAAGGGTGACCGCACATTTCTGTCAAATAAAAACGATGTGAAAGAGACGTCTGTGAAAAGACACCATCACCTTAGGGTGTGGGACAACACAGAAACCGTAACAACACATGAGGAGGAAAAAAAGGAGAAAGTCTTTCGCATGGAGACATCGTAGCTTGCAGCATCTCTTGCCTCTGACCCATCTGTGAAGGATTTGTGCTACTTCACTGCACAGATTGTTGTGCAAATTGAGCAGCACTCTTTCTCACACCTTTTCAAATAGAGCAGTATTTGCATGTGGGAGTGCAGTTACCTTTGAAATTTGGTCTGATGCGAGCATCATAGCCAGATGTGCGTCCCATCAGTTTGTCCAAAAAGTCAGAGGGAGAGGGCGGCTTGACTGCCCTGCTGGGGAACTTCAGCTCCTTACACTGCACAGACCTACAGGGTGATGGGGCAGTGATGATTCTGGCTTCACTGACATAAATATGAACTTAATGTCTAGCTTCTTAATTTGGATTAAGACGCTAAAATTTAAGTTTGGACATTACATGCATTTTGTGATTAAAGGTGTCCTGCTGTGAATAAAATTGCAGGCTTTCTGAATAAAAGAACAATATCCATGAAATTACTTTTTTCTTTTTTAAGGTCTGTTTCTCAAATCTTGCAAATTTAATTGGGTATTTTTACCTAATGGAACAGTTGCTTTTTAATTATAGATTACAAAATATTTAATGCATGTTTCTTTCCACTTAAAGAGAAAAAGCTGTGTCGGCAGCTTCTTTGTTAAAGAAGTGCAAATGCAGTATCAGAGCATGTAAGGTACAGTAACTGCCCCTTCAAATAAGCGTGCAGGCTGGCGCTTGCATTTTTGGAAAGGAAAGACTTTCAAAACTATCTTACCTGCCTTGTTGAAAAATGACAAACGAAGCCCACAGTGGACACAGGATGTGCAGTAGCATTCTGAGTTGGTGGACCCAACAGATGAGAGAAAAACAGCCAAAATTTGGAAGGAAAAAAAAAAGAAAACGAAGATGCGGAGAACTTTCAGGCGCTGGCTCCTGGAGTCAGATGAGCCTCCCTCCCTCTCTGCAGGTGTAAAATACAGGAAGCTGCTGCTCTATAATTCAAAATCCAAGAGAACTTTTTTTTTCTCCTTCCCCTGCCTGTTTGTGTGGATCACTTCAAGCTTTATCTCTTTTTTATGGCCATATGCATGCTGAAGGAATTACTGCAAGAATTTTTAAAGGGACAGCAGCATTTTTACAGCAGAGTTGCCCCCGACGATGGTCTTCGACGCAGCCTCAGATCTGCACTTTCAAATATTTGGGATTCAAACTGTACTGCTTATAAGCACTTTTATTAAACAGACCTAATTATGAAAGTTAAACACATATAGCTATGCTTTTTTTTCTCTTTAATTTCTGGATGAACACAGCTCTGCCGGTGCTTAACCCACATTTTAAAAAACTTTAAAGAGGCATGTAAATAAGCCTGAAAACTGTATTTTAATAACAAGGGAGGAGAACCTTTACATTAAAATGACCCCTCTACCCTCCTTTTAGAATCAGGTTGTTCAAAGATATTTTTGGTGAAACTGTATTTATATTGCCATCAATTTACAAAACCACATAACATCAGCACTGAATGGGCCTCAAATTGGGCAGGAGAACAGAGAGGTAACTGCCAAGTTGGCAAGATTGTTGTTCCACGCAGAAGGGAAATAAGATAAAGGCATAAAGTTCCTATTAATTCCAATGCAACACATCTCTGTGTCAGCACACATCCAGAGGGGATTTATCTTTAGCACTGCTGTTAAAAGTTTCTGGTCTAATTATTTCATCTACAAACTGCCACACAAATTCACATATAAATGCGGAAACTCATATTTGTTCCTCCACATAGAGAGGGGGCAAGCTCAGCCATTTCCTCATGTAAAATTAATGTCAGAGAAAGCGACGGGACGTAACGGCTGCACGTGTTTGCCTCACACTTGAAAAGGCCATTCTCCACTCCGCTCTGGAGCCCACAGTGTCAAATTGGATAAGAAATGTGTTGGAATATGAAACATGAATGCCTTCCTAATAACAAGAAGCCCTGAGTAAAGAAAAAAAAAAAATAATTCTGTGTGTGTGCACATTTTTACCTCTGGACAAGAAAAGTAGGCCAAGCTTCATTTTAGTGATATTTTGCTGGACTGCGAACTGGATTTACTTCATTAGCTCATATTACCGACACACTGTTAAATGGAGTAGTCAGGTGCTTTTTATACAGGCTGGCTTTTCCCTTTTGAAACGATAAATACGTGCTTTTGATCTGTGGTCAAATCACTATAGCCCACATGCATAACCATAGCAAATGTAGCAAGCAGCACACATTGATGCTCCAGTGGTTCAGATTAAGATGAAGCACGCAGACTTTAACTACCGTCAAAACAATCAAAGCTCCGAATGGAGGTAAACTTCTCGGTTGTCAGTGTTGTTTTTCTAAAAGCACAACTGAAAATACAGAGATGAGTGATTTAAAAATAGCTTTTATTGCAGCTTTTTTTTTCTCCTCTGAACAAGCTGCTTTGATCACACCGACGGAAACGATGACCCATGTGCAACATTTGCAGCCTGGTGGGAGGGAATGCAGAAAAGCAATCACGCGAGTTTGGTGACAGCAGAAAGATAACACAGAGACTTCTAAAAGGAGGAAAAACAAGCGCAACAGATATAAATTCCAAATATGAAAATATTTCACCAACATAATTTACATTGATCCTCATTTGGTAAGTGTGACCAGTTGTGTCTTAGAGAATGTGGCAATGAGTCCCAGAGTTCAGCTGTCACATGAAGCCCCACTCCCTCCCGTGCACGTTTGTCGTCCCCAGTCTTAATCCTCGTGGATGTTGAACAGCTTGGCCACTTCGTTCAGATCTGCATGCTCTTCTCCATCCTTGATGATCTACGAATTACAGAAATAAACAATTACAACAACCGAGCGGATATTTTGCTCTTGATGAAACAAAGCAAAACGGCAGCACTTACCTTCCTTGCAACGGGCATTCTGTTAAACACGTTCCACAGGATAATGCCCACCACCACTTTGTCTCTTAGGTAGAAGATGACTCCTTTGCCATAGTCGTCTTTGTTCTCCACAACAGGAGCAGGTGTCACAGAGGCCACCGCGCTGGTGGCTGTGTCCTCCGTTTCACTTTCTGAGCGGATCCCAGTTCCTGCCGCAGATTTGAGAACACAGACTCTGTCTGACCCTTTGTCCTCAAAATATTTTTTTTTTCTCTTTGCTTGAAGGAAAAAGGTTGACTGCTCCTACCTGACTCTTCTGTAGCAGCTTTAGGCGTATCCTTGGCAGTGGCTTTAGCAAACACGCCTACTGTTGGTAGGCTGCTGTCAACAATCCCGATAGCCTCGTAGCCTACATCAGGACCCAGATCACTCCTGTAAGAAGGTACACGTGATTTACTGCAGTACCACATATAGTTGAGAACAAAGTCAGAAATCATGCATAACATTTAGTAATTCTTTGCACAAAATGTCTCATGTGTTTTCAAAGTGGGGCTTGAAAGATTTCAAGTTTAAAACTGATCTGATATCTGATTCTACAAGCATGTAGATTAAATACATAATTAAATACAAAATGTTAAACCAGGTCATGTTTGGAGGTGGGAGGGGCAGTGTTAGCAAAAGTACAGACACTCTGTACTTAGGTAGAAGTACAAATATTACTGTTAGAAAATACTCTAGTACTGTAAGAAAGTATTGATTTGACTAGTAGTAGTACAGGCTCAAAGTAAGAAAGTAAAAGGTAGCTTTTTGGAGGATGTTTCTATTTTTGTGCAAAGCTGATTGAACCTTGTGCTATATTAACAAAATGATAAAAAAAATAATATTAGTAGATGGAAATAAAAACCTTTAGTCTATTTTCTTCTAATTGTACTCAGCTTGAATCTGAAGAAAAAGAAGGAAAATAAAAATATACATCTATTTTCTGTTGCCTTCATTGTAGAGGGTGACTCTGTCTCTAAATAGGAAAATGTGTACAGTCATGAGTTAAAGTGGGATTCAGCAGGTGGGGGAACACTAAAATTGGCTGTAGTGGCCAATTTTGTGGGGAAAAGAATCATAACTCATCATCATAACTCTAATATAATTTCTACTGAGAACTCCAGTCCTTAAACTAGCAGCAAGTCTAAATCAGTTTAATTTTCAGCATGTTTCACAATATGAAAAAACATATTGTCACATGTACAGACCCAGTATCTTCTTAAATCCTACTGAGCAGTCCTTACCTTTAAATCTAACCTCTCTTCTTCCTCTCCTGTCCTGTCTTTCTTATCTTTCACCATCCCTGAGTGAAGTTAGACCTTTCTTTTCTCTCCCTGTGAAATACAGCAGCTGAACCTTTAGCTAGCAACACACTGTGCGACAAACTGCACACAAATTGTTTGTGTGTTTACTGATTTTTGTTGAACTGCATTTGAAATTACCTGACACTTAAAAAAAACGTCACTCCCTTTATGCTCGCTCCTCTTCCGCAGGGCTAGCTAGATGCTGAAGTACCGCAACACATGGACATGTGCAGTCATTAGCTGTGTCCCAATTCAGGGTCTGCACGCTTGAAGTACGCATTTTAAGTACGGTTACGTCACCGCCAGGCGACGACGGCTGTCCCAATTCGAAGTGTACTTCAAATGCATACTCCAAATGCGCCGTCGATTTCCCCAAATATCAAGCGTGGTCCGGTGCACGCTTCGTGGTCCCATATATCCCACAATTCATAGCGCGTGTGGGTGTGGATAATTTTGCCGCAAAATACGGCAGAAGGGAGCGGCCGAAAAGTGAACTGTCAAAAGTAAGTACTGAATATCACGTCACTTATTCATGTGAAAATGTTTAATAATGAAGAACATTAAAACATTGCCGTTGGCCACATGTCGGCAAAGTTATGTGACACTAGTGATGTTTGTACTTTCTCTATCTATCTATCTCTCTATATCTATATCTCTATCATAATAATCTGACAATACTATAATATTGGCCATATTATATTTACATTACCATAGTGAGATGACTTTAGTCTCATGAACAACATTAACTAATTATTATTTACTAGCTAATCTTAAATGACTGTTCAGTACAGAAATGAAGCCCTTGAATCATGTTTTACAGTCCTGTGGTCTCAGCCTCAGATACTCAACTAATCAAAGTGATGTCATGACAAAAATGATTGACCAACAAAACAATTTTCTCCTTCAGTTATGTCAAACAAAGCTGTATGTAACGTGTCTCGTGGTTAGTATCATGGTTGCTAGGCAACCTGAACAGCGCGACAAAGCATATACCGTCCCATTTCACACGCCTCTCACTTCCGCACTTCTTGTACTTATAGTACGCACCGTACGTAGTACGCGTAGTGCGCGTACTTCAAGCGTGCGGTCTCTTAATTGGGACACAGCCATTGGTGTTGTGGCAAAAACAAAAGCCACCGTTCCACTTTCAACTCCTGACCCTGGCACACGCCATCTCTTTTTATGCAACATCCTCTGGTGATTAATCAACAAACAGGACTGCCTTTCATGCGATTCTGTTTAGGCTCAAATCGGTTTGATGTTTGGACGCTGGCAGTACCAAAATAGTAACTTACCCCCAAATGCATTAAACCAAAAGTAACACGTCTCTTTTGAAATGTGAAGAGTAGAAATTACAGATTTTCATTTAGAAATGTAGGGAGAAACCTAAAGTAGATACCTGGAAGAGTAAGTACAGATACCTGAAAATTGTATTTAAGTATTTAACTTAAATGGATTTAACTTCCCACGTCTGGGGGGGAATGATTCAATATTAGTATGTGTAAACGTGTAGCCCTGCCTGCCTGCCTGCAGTATCTGGTGTGACTCTCTTGTGAAGAAATAACAGCAACAAAATGTTTACAAAAATTGTTGATTGGTCCATGACAT